GACTCCAGCTCCACCTTCCTGGGCTCAGTCGGGCTGCACATGAACCAGTGCAGGGTCTTTTTAGGGAGATCCTTTAATTTTTCACAGAAGAAAGACTTCAGTTGACAGCTGTAGTCAAGTGATGGGGGAGCTGGAGTCGGTCCAAAGGATGAGAGACTCACTGGAAAGGAAGCTGAAAAATGTTGGACAGCAAGTTAGCTGGTGTCTGAAAGCACGAGCTGGTTAGCTGAACAAGAAGGTTAAAGATCAGCACGTAGCAGGTGGGAAATGCTGAGAGTTAAACTGACCACTTGTTTTCTAATACAGCATGGATCCATTATTTAAACTAAGACCCATCAGTCAGTGGAAAACAAGAGCAAGATGCTGACAGTAAAAAGCCTTCAGCCTGAATCTGCTCTGAATTCAATTAAGCATCACTTAGCTGAATAACGTCTGGTTAATGTTCACAGAGGAAGGCTCTCTCACGCTGCTGTCCCTTCCTTCCCCGCTCTGCAGGCGATGGCCAGAGACGAGAAGAACTACTACCAGGACACGCCCAAACAGATCAAGAGGAAAATCGGCGAGTATAAACGCTGCCACCCGCAGCACTACGAGGCCTTCGTCAGCTCGCTCGCAGAGCCAATGGTCCAGTAGAAGATCTGCTGTGGGTCTGAGGAAGTGGACTGTGGACATTCAGACTGAGGTCGAGTGTTTGGACGGAGAGTAAAATACCGGCGAGTGCCGAGGAAACACGTCCATGTTCTGGGACGTTTCTCTCTCCTTTTGTATTTTTAATTGAGTCATTTTGTTTCAGGATTTATTCGCTCTTTCTTGTGAAAGTCAAACATGACTGAAATGAGATTTTTAATAATTTAAACCCCTTGAAACTCATCCAGCAGGTGTGTTTTTTTTCCCTCTCTGGGATAAAAGTATTTCAGTTTCCTCCATTATCCTCATAAACCACAGGAGGACCTGAACATCCGAGTAAAATCATGAAAAACGGATCTATTTTTATTGGTGTGTTCATTGATTTCTGTTTTTATTCCCAAGCAAACCAAAGTCGGAAACCACAAGACAAGAATGATCTGTGCAGGGATCGAATATCAAGTGAGATGCTAAAATAAAGAAGTTGGTGAATCTTTTTACTGATAAATAACAAATATGTGAGCGGGTTTTTT